TTTTTTCTCTATATATTTTACTATTTTTTGCATTGGTGTCACCCCCCCCCCCCCCCCTAAATGGTGTCACCCGGTACGGTCCGCACCCCCGCCCCCCCCCCCTCGCTACGCCTCTGTTATAGAGGTTCTCCATCAACCACCTAGGTATTTTTCCCAGTTCACCTCCTTTTATGAGACCGACACGTCATAAATTGCGGAGCCGCCTGAGTTGACGTCACAAATCTTCACTCACTCCCGTAGCAAATCATATGTGACATCATTTATGGACAACCCCATATCACTCACTTGGGTACTTGATAAGTGGCGTAGCCAGGATCGTCTCAAGGAGGGGGGGGGGTGGGTTTCCAATTTCTACCCGGGGACAAACTTTTGATTTGCACCCCCCTCTCAGACTTTTGATTTGCACCCCCCCCCCCCCTCAAACTTTCTATTTGCATCCCCCCTCATACTTTATATATATACCGAGGGGTCTATGGGGGGGGGGGGGGGGTAATGACCCCCCCCCCCTAACCCCCCTGAAAGGATAACCAAAATGTGTCTGACAGGTGGGTGCGCGGACCTTTGACCACAGGTGCTTTGACCATAGGGGGTTTGACCATAGGGGGTTTGACCACAGCGGAGCTTTGACCATAGGGGCTTTGACCACAGCGGGCCTTTGACCATAGCGGTGCTTTGACCATAGGGGGTTTGATCATAGGGGGTTTGACCATAGGGGGTTTGACCACAGGTGTTTTCTCAGCAGAGGGTCTTTGATCACAGGTGGTCTATCAACTGGTGTTTGATCACAAGCGCTGTGTCCGGCTTTGATCATAGGTGTGATACAATTAACACGATTTTATACATGTTTCCTGAGAGTACGTTAAAAGAAATTAACATGTATTTTTAAAAAAGCCAAGAACTATATTTTAGTCTCCACATAAAGGCTGGTGCTAGACCTCATAGATTTATTTTAAATATAAATGAAACACAAATAATGCGACATATAACAAGTTTCACAAATAAATAATGTAGAATTACTTGAAAATACATAGCATATATAAAGGATAAAAAATGATTCAAAACTTGCCAACAATATAGTCAAAGCTGTAAATCATAAAATGGTTAACTAAATGACAGATGTGCTATAGCACGCAAATATGTCAGTACATCTGTTTGACCATATTATTACATCATGTCGAAATTTAAAATATAATTTAGCAACTTTTAAAATAAATCCTTACCATATATGGACAGCATGGGACAAACCACCTGAGATCAAAGACCCTATGTGGACAAAACACCTATGATCAAAGCCGGACACGGCGCTTGTGATCAATCACCAGTTGATAGACCACCTGTGATCAAAGACCCTCTGCTGAGAAAACACCTGTGGTCAAACCCCCATGGTCAAACCCCCTATGATCAAACCCCCTATGGTCAAAGCACCGCTATGGTCAAAGCCCCGCTGTGGTCAAACCCCCTATGGTCAAAGCCCCTATGGTCAAAGCTCCGCTGTGGTCAAACCCCCTATGGTCAAAAGCCCTATGGTCAAAGCACCTGTGGTCAAAGGTCCTAGGACCGACAGGTGGAGACTTGCGATCGACCATAATGACAACACGCACTTAAGGGGTGGATTGGCTCATTGTTTTAGATGATGTTTTACGAGGGAAGCTGGTGGATAATACATTTTGTCTCTCTGTATATATGAATGATGACAAACATTCAATGTTGTCAAAATTATGGCTCGATATCTTAGATAAGGCAGGGTGAAGCGTAATTTTTTACATTATGACTTGTGACATTGACAACAAAAATATGACGGAGGTTGGGGTTTAATTAAGGTAAAGAGAAGTAAAAAAAATGTCATAAATTACGATATAATCACTAATTGATGAAAAGAAAAACCTGAAATGAAAATAGTGAACATTCAAACAATAAGAAAAAAATCAAACTATATACTATATATAGATCTAGTGATAGTAAGATCAAATAAACATTAGTAAAAAAACGTGATTTAATAAATGGATACAAGTTGCATCTCACAATGCTTCTAGAATTAATAAAGTTGTTTGTTAGGAATTTCAGTTTTTAAAGAGCAGAATTTTAAAAAAAATGCTTTGTAATACGGACTATACAACAAGACAATCATATTTAAATACATTTTTATACGAATAGAAATGAAAGGGAAGCTACTCTAAATAACAATTTCTTAAGATGGCTGCTGTTTTTAATAGCAAATTTACTATCTCGAACAGGGTTGATAAAAATTAATTTCAGGATATTTAAATTGATTCAACCATAAATGGTGATCTATTATTCAATTATTTATAATATTTTATCAAAATATACGAAAATATACTCATATTTAATGACATATTCATTAATTCACTCTCTCCTACATTACTAGTTTTGGCCGAATTTACGACGCTAAACTAAGATTTTACCGATTCCAGATCTAGACTAGTTCACTAGACCAGGGGTCTCCAAACTTTTCAGTCCAAGGGCCGCATTAACTATAAAATTTCAGTTCGCGGGCCATTTTCTTACAGGCATGTCTTTGATTTTTCTAGGCAAAGTTCCTCAGCCATCACTAACAAACGTTTTTTTCCGTGGACAAAAAGATCTCCGCGGCCGGATGAGAGGACCTCACGGGCCGCATTTGGCCCGCGGGCCGTAGTTTGGAGACCCCTGCACTAGACTATGAAATTATTTTTAAAAAAAACGAGTCAAAATGATTAGGGCCTAACGTAGTAATTTTACTAAATTAAAGTTACTAGACTAGTAGAGTCTAGTCTAAATTGACTAAACTAAGATTTTAGTAAAAAGTAGAATCTAGTAAAGTTCAAGTTTTAGTACTCTTAGTAGTCCTGACATCTGACATAGACGTCTAGATCTACTGAAATAGATATTGATAATTGTAGATCTAGGTTTCTAGGCTAGGACTGTAGTAGGTAGATTTAGACAGTATTTTTATTATAAAACTATTTTAGATTTTGAGTAGCCTACCCTACTATATTATTACACTACATCATATTATTAATTCAAAGTGTCTATTCACAGTCGACTGCGAATAGCTGTTATTTTAGGACTATTCACAGTCGTGACTGTTTTTGATAGATTTAATGTTAAAAACACCAATTTAGACTTGAAGTTGTGTGGTCGAGTGGAAAAGTGGGTGACTGTTGTGCCGGAAGTTGCGGGTTTGAACCCATCAGATGACTGGTCTTTTGACACTTAATTTAGTCCCCCTATCATCAAAATTTTATTTTTTCCCATTGTTCATGAAAGGGTTGCGTTAATTTTTTAATCGTTTGTGACATGATTAATGGCATATCTGCAAAAAAAAAATAAAAAAATCTCCCTTAGATTTTTGCTAAGAAAAAAACAACTTGTGAGAAGTGTGATGGAAACTGTGAATTATAGTTGATTAAATAAATAGGACATCCTATTTCACCTGATATTTGTTCTATGCAAATTTTAAATGGTAATTGACAGTTGAGTAAGAATAGCAATGTGATGCATAATTAATATTATTTATTTAAAAAATACTAGATCTATTAATTAGACTAGTATAGATTTAATTAGAGTGCATAATGATAAGTGATCAGTTCATCTACAAAGGACGTAGCAGATATGAGCCTAAAAGTTAAACTTAAACCACAATAATTTTTAAAATAAAAACATAACACAATATATATCTAAATAGCATACTTGCTGAACAGTTACACACACTATGTATAGTGCTATGATTTTATGAGTAGGCCTAAAGTGCCCAAAAATTGCTATAGGCCTACACTTATATGGATAGTAATAGTATATTGTAAACACTTTAAAAGCTAATGACATGTCACTAAGAATAATAACAGTATTAACAGTGTGCTTATTAAAACTCTCAAATCATGACATAGAGGGTTTTCAATTTATTCTTATCTTTATTGATTGTCTACAAATATAGATTATAGTCTACCTTAACTCCTAAAGCTAGGTTTCTAGAATCTACAGGCCTAAATGTTTTCAGTTAAGTTTTTTAGCTTGGGTGCGGTTTGTTGAAGATATATGTAACTTTGTCAGGAGTTAGATTGTGTGTGGAGTGTAATATTGTTTTTTTGTGTGTATAGGTTTATAGTCTATAGGCTATAAATCTTTTGAAAATAGTGTTTTCATAAAGTATAATAGCAATAGGAGTGGTAGGGTCAAATGGTAGAGTGTCAGACTGCTGAAATACAAGTCTTGGAGTTTTGTATCACAGGCTTCAGCCTGTAGGATGTCCCTGAGTCCACCCGATTCTGATGGGTACTTGACCCATGTTAGGAAAGTAAAACTGACTGGGCATAGTGCTGACCATACTATCCCTTTATATTCAGAGGACACTGAAACAGGATAATTCTACTTCACCTACCCCATGGACCATAAGGTTAATACTTGTAACTATATAATAGTAATAAAAATAAATATAACACATTAAAGATATACTGATACTCAGTAGCCTACCTACCTTACAAACCAGAAACCACTGGGGGGGGGGGGGTCATCCATAAATGCCGTCACGCTTTTTTGATGATTTTTACCTTCCCCCCTCCATCACAAATCATCACAAAAAGCCAGGACCCCCCCCCCCCCCAAAATGACAGCAAGCCTGAGCCCCCCTCAAAATTGCAGTTGAATTTTCTTAAAACATCAATATTTTTCCAAAATCATGTCTGAACTTTGTCAACAAAGAGTATTTTAATCAATTCCTATTACCATTTACAGTTTTCTAAACGCGAAATAACGGGCTAAAACTCATTTTCTAACATTGCTCTTTATAATGCAAAAGTGTGATCTCAAATAAACAAAAATGATTTTAGATGAAAAAAAATAAAATTTTTCAAGAAAGTTGACTACCAAAAATGTTATTATATAATTTAAACAAAAATATACCAAACTTTTGATTTTATTTTTTGACTAAATTTTATAACAAAATCAGCAGATTTCAGACTGTCTTGGTGCACTTTAAATTATTTATCATTTCATTTTTTCAGCGCAATTTGATGAATCCTATGATGAATAAAACTTGGTGTAAATAATTAGTAACCATGAATCCTAGAGGAAGTAACATCCTTTTGTTTGTGCTTTTTCGCATACTCCTGCCAATAATTTTATTGACAGGTGAGTTTTATTTAAAACTTTTATCAAAATATAAACATTCACTTTTTAGGATAATACATTGCATCATGTATTGCTTAATCTTAAAGAAATTAAAGGTATTACAAATGAACTGAGAAATATAACGATTATTTCAGAATTGTTTTTTTTTTAATTTGCAATAAAAAAAATTAAGGTATTTATCTAGAACTTCATTGCTAAGTAACTTGTTAATATTGATTACTGCTGAACTGATCTAAAAGATAATGAAATATATCGGATTACTAGTGAACTGAAAAACTTTGATTAATTCAGCATTGTTCATTATCTTTCTGATAAGCACATTGCAGCTGAAAGGAGCCTTCTACTTATAGGCCTTCTTTATACAGTAACTAGTTATTACACATTTTTAGCAACTGTGTACTGTGGTCCTATTATGAACCAGTAAAGATGACCAACCTGACCCTCACTGTGATACAGTTTGCACTACTAGAACAAACAATTTTTATGTTGCAGCTGCTATTCTACGCTACAATGGATTATCATTGGGATACAGTATCTGCCTGCTGTTTGCACCTCTCATGCGTGTTCCAAACCAAAAGTCCATGTTGCGAGGTAATTAATTCATAATTTCATTCAGTTTGATTTAAGGAGCTCCCTTGATCTAAATACAACAGTTCTTATAATGTACTCACAAGTTACATTTCTTTTTAAGTGTGGTGTTAGAAAATTTCTTTTCGTTTGTTTGAAATGTATTTGCATTATTATTAAGCTGTAAAACCCACTACTATTTAAACAACAAACACAATTTAAAATGCAATAACCCGATTTTCTAAGAAAATATAAATGGACAATGAATTATTTTTAAAATAGTTAATTCTAAAAGCCAAATTTGTTAAATAAAAATAAAAAAAATCGGTATTATATTTTTACAGTCAATAAGCTCAATGTTAAAAGGACAAACATTTGTAATTATTGTGTGTTCTTTGATGCGCCTGTCCCTTCTGAATTTGTATCTATGCTCTATTTTCTCTTCTCTTAACTCATTTAACTTTATGGCGGGTAATATGTTTGTCATTGTGATCAAAGACCCCCCCCCTCCCCCCACCCGACGACCTTGCTCCCCGCTCTACTCACAGCAGGTGCACAGGTCGACCTGTAAAAAATATCAGCAACCACCACCCCATCCCCACACTGGCAGCCAGCTTTGTGTTGAGCATGCAGCCGCTGTTGGCTGTTCAGCCATGCGGTTTCTCCTACACTAGTTATTCTAATGACTGACATTGTATACGGGTCTTCTATTTTTGCGTCCATTCTTCTAATGTTTTGTTTCATTAAGAGGTTCATTCATAATTGATGTGACGCACCCTGGGGGATGGAGGTTCTGGCTAGGAAAAGGGTGGTTTAAATGCGATGAAGAGCATGATTATTTTGATTACAATTCTGCTTATTTTTTGGTTTGTATGTGACACTGAGGGGAGAGGTTGGTTGAGCGGGGGGGGGGGGGGGAAATTGTGACGTCAGCCGTCTAAAATTGCGTGACGTCATTTACAGCGAACGGTGTGTGTCGACTCTGTGGTCAAATACCCCGTGAATCATTTTGGCTGTTGTACAACACGACTGATCAGAGAGACGTAATGGTTTTCTCTGATTGCCAATGCCGTGATGGTAGTTGGCATAGCCGCTGGCAGTCACATTACATGGTATTTCTGAGGGTTAAATTAACCCCACAACCTCTCATCCGATCACTTATCACACTACACCCTTTCACGATCACTCATCACACATCACCCATTCAAACTTTTATTCGTTCCACTATATGGTCCCAGATTTTAAAAGTTCTGAGAGTCGTTAGTTTGACGTTGTTTTATTCCACTCCATCGTCCCACATTAAAAAAGTTCTGAGAGTCGTTAGTTTGACGTTGTTTTATTCCACTCTATCGTCCCACATTAAAAAAGTTCTGAGAGTCGTTAGTTTGACGTTGTTTTATTCCACTCTATCGTCCCACATTAAAAAAGTTCTGAGAGTCGTTAGTTTGACGTTGTTTTATTCCACTCCATCGTCCCACATTAAAAAAGTTCTGAGAGTCGTTAGTTTGACGTTGTTTTATTCCACTCTATCGTCCCACATTAAAAAAGTTCTGAGAGTCGTTAGTTTGACGTTGTTTTATTCCACTCTATCGTCCCACATTAAAAAAAGTTCTGAGAGTCGTTAGTTTGACGTTGTTTTATTCCACTCTATCGTCCCACATTAAAAAAGTTCTGAGAGTCGTTAGTTTGACGTTGTTTTATTCCACTCTATCGTCCCACATTAAAAAAGTTCTGAGAGTCGTTAGTTTGACGTTGTTTTATTCCACTCTATCGTCCCACATTAAAAAAGTTCTGAGAGTCGTTAGTTTGACGTTGTTTTATTCCACTCTATCGTCCCACATTAAAAAAAGTTCTGAGAGTCGTTAGTTTGAAATTGACGTTCAGCAGCGTGGCGCTGCTACTCGCATCGTTTTTTTTTGTCCTTGTAAAGTTGGCGTGTACTGGGGCGGTGTCTGGAGATTAGTGCTGTCGTCCTGTGGTCGTCATATGGACCGTCCATTCACTGTGCCACGGTTCTCCAGCGTCAGATTATAATTGCAATATAAAAGCAATGGATAACCTCGGCCATCGTTAGGTTTATAAACCAGTTTAATTATAATGTACACAAGTCTACTACAAAAAAAATGCTAAAATAACCGCAGCGCGATACAGACGTGGCGAAACCAGTGTTTTCATAGGCAGCCGGTATTTAAAATCCTGCTGCATGTAAAACATGAAAACATCTACTCTGCGCCCCCCCCCCCCCCACTGTTGTTTCTAATCTGATGTCATGTAGTGTAGATGTGTGTATCGCCACCGTGCCACTGTGATGCCATCTAGCGTGTGTGCGCCGTGCTCTACAAACACACCATCCACGAGTGTAGTTAAAAAAAATTACCAGATAAGGAAAATTGTTTTGGCATCCCAGACACATGTCCTACGTCTCCTGGTATGGTGCCAGATCTGGTGGTGGGGAATTCTTTGGGGATTTCTCGATAGTGGCTTCAATACAGCCGTGGGCGGAGGCTTGTCTGGGATCATGAGTACAGCGGGTAGATCAAACACAATGGCCTGGTACCCCAGGCACCACATACTTCCCGCTTGGGTTGTTGGGTCTGTGGCCTTGAAAACACTGGGTCTCATAGTGTTAGTTTGTGGCCTTGAAAACACTGGGTCTCATAGTGTTAGTTTGTGGCCTTGAAAACACTTGGTCTCATAGTGTTAGTTTGTGGCCTTGAAATACCGAGCCCACATTGAGGATTAAAAGGTTAATGCACAAATAAATCCTTGACATTGTGAGACAATATGCTCGCTGTGATTTTTACCATGAGTTTTTCACCTTCTGACCAACAGTCTAAGGCAGCTATGACCCAACTGTTTCTTCAACCCCCCCCCCCTCTTACACACACACACTTCTAACTATATCCCTAAGACAACTAGGCAATGGACAAGCTAGACTAGGCCGGCGTTGGCCATTGATGGTTTGCTAGCCTGTCGATGTGTATTCCTTGCAAGAAAAAAGTCTCTAAAACATGACGGATATGACATAACTTGATCAACATCTGTTACCAGAAGGTTTTTATTTTTAACAGTAAAATATCGATTAGGCAAGATTTATTGACGAGTGTTTCTACCCGATAGATTTTTTTCTTTGTTACAAGCTAATGGTTTCATGCACGCTGACAGGGTCGCCGGTTAGCTTTTGTGCAACATACACACGCATATTGTGTGTCAAGAGCCTTTGTTAAATGTATTGCTGTTTGGCTTGCACACTCAACATAGGGTAGTAAAGTAAATGTGTGATTGGTCTTTAGGCCATAGCAGCAATGTAACGGGTCCGTGGGCAGTAAAGCTGACTGTGACCAGTTGGTCGCACGCGCAGTGTGACGGACACTGGAGTATCCGGTTTTTGTCAGCAACATTCCATTCTACGACACCCGAGTGCTATAAAGATATCGTATGACATTGTGTGCCGATGACGGTATTTACTTAGAAACCAGAATCTGTACAACTCCTTTCTTCATTCACGCCCCAGTGTTGACGTTGACCTATCATGGCTCCACTATATACTGTACCCCCCCCCCCACCTTATAAATCCCTAAGATGCTGTCTCAAGCATCACTAGAACACCAACGTGCATGTTTACCTGCCGTTTATACAGATACACGTGCGGAAATGCCATTGTTCCATACGGCGTTAATTAGAGACGAAATAACTCTGGCTCGTCTATAACGTGGGAACATGCCTCGTCTGGGGGAGTTGTACGCTTAGTGCTTTCATCTGTTGTCATGGCTTCTCTCATGTTCTATTACATACTGTTGTCATGGCTTCTCTCATGTTCTATTACATTCTGTTGTCATGGCTTCTCTCATGTTCTATTACATACTGTTGTCATGGCTTCTCTCATGTTCTATTACATTCTGTTGTCATGGCTTCTCTCATGTTCTATTACATACTGTTGTCATGGCTTCTCTCATGTTCTATTACATACTGTTGTCAAGGTTTCTCTCATGTTCTATTACATACTGTTGCCATGGTTTCTCTCATGTTCTATTACATACTGTTGTCATGGCTTCTCTTATGTTCTATTACATACTCTTTCATTTGCATCTCTCAATGTTTAACATACTCTTTCATTTTCTTCTCTCCATCATTTACATACTCTCTCATTTGCATCTCTTAATGTTTTACATACTGTTTCAATGACTTCTCTCATGTTATATTTTATCTTTCAATGTCTTCTCTCAATGTCCTCTAATGTTTCACTGTCTTCTCTCAAAGCTCTCAACATTTTCACTGTCTTCTCTCAATGTTCTCTCAATGTTTCAATGTCTTCTCTCAATATTCTCAAATGTTTCAATGTCTTCTCTCAATGTTCTCCAAATTTTTAATGTCTTCTCTCAATGTTCTATGCTGTTTCAATGTCTTTACTCAATGTTCTATTACACACACCTTTCGTGTCTTCTGCCATTTTTTGTTTTCAAATTGTAATTTTCCTCTAGACTTAGCAGTATTTATTTATGTGAGTGACACCTAAATCTTAGCTGCAATTGACGAGATGCACACAAGACAGTGACAGTGTACCCTTGTGCCTGAACGGGAGACCACACATAAACAGCTGTAGACCCTAGGACGGGAGACCACACATAAACAGCTGTAGACCCTAGGACGGGAGACCACACATAAACAGCTGTAGACCCTAGGACGTGTGACCATACATAAACAGCTGTAGACCCTAGGACGGGTGACCATACATAAACAGCTGTAGACCCTAGGACGGGAGACCACACATAAACAGCTGTAGACCCTAGGACGGGAGACCACACATAAACAGCTGTAGACCCTAGGACGGGAGACCACACATAAACAGCTGTAGACCCTAGGACGGGAGACCACACATAAACAGCTGTAGACCCTAGGACGGGAGACCACACATAAACAGCTGTAGACCCTAGGACGGGTGACCATACATAAACAGCTGTAGACCCTAGGACGGGTGACCATACATAAACAGCTGTAGACCCTAGGACGGGTGACCATACATA